GTTTTCCGTTCTGGTGATGCCGTCCTTTTAAAAACGTTGGCTGGTCTTGAGCCGCGCTCATCGATCTGTGTGTTCAGGTTTCTGGAGGTGTTCCTGCTGTACTGCCACTCAGCTGGCCAGTGGTTTGCCATAGAAGAGTGCATCACCGGCGAGTTCAGGAAGTTCAACAACAACAACGGGGACGAGATCGTTCCCACCAACCTCCTGGAGGAGACCATGCTGGCCTTCAGCCACTGGACATACGAGTACACCCGGGGAGAGCTGCTGGTGCTCGACCTGCAGGGTAACGCTCACGCCGATGACGCATTTATTTCTGTTAAAAATTAGCTGCTTCTGGTGTCTAATAATCCCGCTTTCATTTGCAGGCGTCGGGGAGATCCTAACGGATCCGTCTGTCATTAAGAGTGGGGAGAAAGGGTGAGCGTTCTCACAACATCGAGTCGCCATTTTTTCATTTCATTCCAATCAAGTGGAGAGTTCAGGAGCCGACTCATCCCTCTGTCTCTGCTGCAGGTCGTACGACATGATATTCGGACCTGCCAACCTCGGAGACGACGCCATCAGAAACTTCCGGACTAAGCACCACTGCAACTCCTGCTGCCGGAAACTCAAACTTCCTGGTGAGACGAGCTTTCAGCTGCTGACTGGTTGCTTAATTTCATATTGGAACTGTTGGCAACACTTTATTTGAAGGGGTGCATAAGACTGACATGACACTGTTATAAACATGACATGGCATCTATTACGAACATAAAGGAGTCTTTCTGACTTGTCATGAAGTGTCATTCTATAAATGATGACACTTTGAATGCAAAGTTGTACTAAAGCTTCCATTAAAAGTGCCAACTTTGCCCTAAGTGTCATTATTTACTGAATGACACTTCATGACAACAGTCATAAATGTTCACAAACTCTCCTTCATGTTCATAACAAATGTTATGACATGTTTAGTGTCATACCAGTCTTACGCACTCCTTCAAATAAAGTGTTACCGAATTGTTTAGTCTTCCATCAAATTTTTCTTATAATAGATGTCAAATTACTCTGCTCTGAAAAGCTGTTTTATTAGTTTTTTTAAATGTCCCCCACCCCCAAAAAGTTAAAATGTGACTTTATTTGAAGTGCTATAAATAAAAGCTCCAGAGACGAACACAAGTTGTGTAACAGCTGCACAAACATGGCGGAAAGCTTTCTGCAGTGAACCAGCCAAAGTTGATATATTGTTTGACTTTTAACCTGCCATGTGTCATATCTGTTTTTCATTTTTCTTCTTCATCAGACCTAAAGAGGAACGACTACACACCAGATAAGGTTACCTTCCCACAGGATGACCCGCCCAACCCAGGGGGCGGAGTCAAAGATTCCCGCCAATCAATGAGACTGATGCTGTGATCAGTGAGATAGTTTTGTGTGTGTTGGTGTGTGTTTTTGAGGGGCGACAGAGTTGTTTTTTTTTTGTTTTTTTTTTTGTTTTGTTTTTGTTTTTCTTCCTCCATCTATTTCAATCAAAGCCAAGGAGAAGCCAACAAACTGGAAGAATTGCCGCTGTGTTTCTTGTGCATGCAGACATCAGCTGTGGTAATCATTCTGTTTTTAGACACCAGGGGAGGATTTTTAAAAGCATTTTGTACAAGTTTCTGAACGTATATATATATATACATGTACGTACAGATATGTAAGCTGGATATATCAACAGGTACAGTGTGATTGCGGAGTCTTTATTTATTTTTGAAGTTTGAGAAGTTGCCTTGTTTCACCAACAAAAAAAAGAACAAAATCAAGTGCATTGTGGATCTGTTACAGCAGCTTCAGACAGGACAACCTGCTAAGACAGAGTTGCTGCAACTTTGCAGATTGCCACCGGATCACGTTTTTTTTAACGTTTAAAAACTTGTATTCTTTTTTTTTTTTTTCGTCTTTTTAGCTAATGATAAGAAATACATGAATTTAAAACTCTTGTAAAAAAAAAAAATCATGATTAAAAAAAAAAACCTATGGGCAGATTGCAATGCAACTTTTACAGAAAAAAAAATGTATGTAATTTTATTGTATTGAAAGTGTCCATCAGAATTTTCCTTTTTAGCTTTATTGTTACAGAGGTACTATTGCTATATCTTTGTCATCTGCTATTGTATGAGCAAAAACTACAATCCAGTGTATCTTATAGATACAGATGTGTGGCATGAGCTCAACAGATTGAAATATTTTATTCAGGGGAACTGACAAGGGTATTACTGTATACATTTTGTACTGAATATCATTTTAAACAAATAAAATGTCAAACATCATTGTTTCTAAAGCTCGAAAATAATTTCTGTCTTTATTGATACTTTTCCTGCTTTATACAAGAACAGAAAAACTTTCAAACAATGCTGAAGCAGACTGCCAGTGTTTGAATTTGTTTCAACAAGTACAGTCGACAAACTTGAACAGATGCACCGATCACGTTTGATTCTCTCTGCTGGCCAATACCGATTTTTCTATTTTTGTTGTTTCTTTCTTTGACTTTAGACCTACTAATCACAGATTTACAACGCAGAAAATGTTGCTTCTTTGAACTAAGATTTTTAACGCCGACACAAAATGGAAAGAATGACAAGATTGTGCCCGTTTAGGAATCAATTTAGAGTATTTCATCTGCTTGTCACTCTCAATGCACTTTGTCGATAAATGTTTGACCTCGAGGAATTTCTGCTTCTATTGAATTTTGGTGTCTTAATGACCCATTTTGCAACCGTGCAAATTTGATCAAGGCTGGTCAAGTAACCGACCTCGTCAGAAACAGACTTGGAAAGTCTGGGAGAATGGATGGGCTTTTGAAGTTCTTGGGCTTATTACTTGCTGGAGAAAGAAAATGGATCTGCTGCTGTTCTTCACTCTGTCTTTCGACATCACCTGTCGGTATTGGAGTCCACACACAATACCTTCTGCTGTTGCGCCGCCTCTGATCACACCGACAGGATCGCTCAGCGGAGCACCTGTGCGATAACTCGCCGCTGAAATGGCTGGGATGTGCAGGTGCTCCTCTGTAAGGTCGGCGGTAGACGTGCGGTGTGAGATTTGCATTTCTGAAGTCAGAAGGGAGGCTTCTTTACCTCAGTCAAAGAGTAGAGAGCCAGTCGGGGTGAAGACCGTGCCAAGTTGTGGCACCCATGGCTAGAAAAACACACTTCTTTGATTAATTTATTTTTTCCATTTTACTACTTATGTTTATGTTGCGTATGTTCACTCATTTGAGCTTTACAACATGTATAACAATTTTATTCCCTCCACAAGAACATACCTGGGGTGTTGCCTTGATTCTTCCACGCATGTTTGAGAAATTATTTAAACTCCCGGGGCAACCATTCAGCTGTGCAGCAAGACGCCTCGGTGGACCAAGTTCTGTCAGAGCAACAGCTGCTGCCGTCTGAATGAATGCATCGCTCCCGGTCAAAAAGCAACCAATCAGAGCCAAGAGGAGGGCCTCAGTGCTGGAACAAACCCCAGAAAAACCATATATTTGCCATCATCAGTGGTCATGCTAACTACCATTAGCCACCGATAGTCTGCTGTTTTGCAGAAGACGTGACTGTAACCTTTACCCGCCGTTAGCCTAAATGTTATCAACTTGTTTCTTTTTCTGTCAGCTTTATTGGCTCTAGTTAGGCCTGTAATAAATAATAAATCAATTATTCGCACAATGAACTAAAACTATCGTTTCTTCTGGCCTTTTTCCTCATTCTGTTGATGACGGTGAATGAAAAAAGGCTCAACTCTGCTGCTCTCCAATATTAATATCAGAAATATTAAGTCTTTTAACAGCCCTGATACGTCCCACAAGACTTAAACCATGAGTTGGAAGTGCTTGATTATGCTCTAGTAAAAGCTAATATGCAAATAGTCAGAAAACTAACATTTAAATTTTAAGTCTCATTTCCTCAATGCTCCAGCGCACTCTACACGATCAAAACCTGGAAATGTAATGAAACGCATTAGCTGACAGAAATCCTGAGTATAACGCTACTGTCTGTCCGATCCTGTCATGTGGTGTCCAACAATGGGCCCAAAATAACAGCCACAAGTCCAGTTAACTCAAAACCAGTCATTAATCAATGCTTTACTACAATCTACCTACATGTGGCCTAGTGACATTATAACGTACAAGAACAGCTGAAAGGTTACTGGGTTTAATCAACTGCAGTAGCAATTGATCAACTCCTCCCCTTGTCATTTCTATAGGCCTATTCTCTGCACGAAATGTTGACGAAACTTTCATGTTGTTTCCACATATCATCTGTCAGCTGTTTGGGATTCCCTTAAATTAATTCCCCCTTCAGAAAGTAGGGAGGGGAATCCGCGCTTTCTGATTGGCTAGCTGTCACATCCACCAGGCTGCGTTGACAGTGGGGTAAAACCCCTGATCTGGATGGGAGCAGCCACGACAATCTACCATAACACACCACACACTACAGGGTGATGGGTTAGAAAACCACAAGCGATGGCCAACAAGAATACAGGGATGGGAGGAGGAGGAAGTGGAGCCTTTCAGGTAGTCGGATGTGCCTGTCTTCTCCATTTAATGATTACTGAAGGCCGATATAGTATACAGACTTCATAATCTGCACTCTTTTGGTTGAATGCAGTATTTATTTCCACTTAGTCCATAAACCGTAGATTTAGTCCAGCCTTGGTCTGTTGTATGTGTAAAAGTGGAGACATACTTCCATTAGTGACAGGATGTAGGTTGAGTCTATTCTGACAAACATGTTTGCATTTTGCACATAACGCATAACAGACAGCCTCTGCAATGTGTTATGTGCAAACGGCGTCGCAGCGAAGCCTCCCCTGCAGAAACTGATTTTCTGTTTCTGCAGGGGGATCAGCGCGCGGCAAAGTGAGTCTGGGCGGCTTGTGAGGGCTGAGTGAGGTTGCAGTGCAGCTTTCCGGACTCCCGCAGGGCGTGGCTTCACCGTCTGATGAAAGAGAGGTTTTCTCTCTGAGCGTCTCATTCCTGTCATCTGAGCGCCGAGAGTTCACAAGAGCTCTGCCCTCATCACAACCTCTTCTGCAAAACCATGAAGACAATCACTATTGAGTATTGGTAAGTTTAGTTTGTTTTTTTTACCCCCACTACTTCTTGTTCTTCTTCTTTCATCACGTTTCCTGTTCCATTTTCATTTGTAGATGTCAAAATGTTGTTGTTTTTGAATGCTGTGCGCTTTTGCAGTGGAGTTTCTGAAACTCCAGAGTGAGAGGCTGGTCATCTGCAGCTCTCATTTGGTTACCTTGTCTGTTTGCTGTTGCAGTAAAGACTGAAGTTATGCGTACCGCTACCAGGAACTGGCCGGCGTTCTCCGGCAGATTCCTGGAGTGAAGGTGAAGGGAGTCACCGGGAGGACAGGTATCCTGAACTTTTGGTTTCATTTATTTTTATATATAGAGAGAGTATATTCAATAAACAATCTGGATAAGTATATATATATATATATATTTGAAGTTAATGTTTTGTTTTTCATCTTTTCTTCTTCTTTTCTCCTCCATAGACAGCTTTGAGGTCTCCCTGGAGGATGAGCTTCTCTACTCAAAGCTAGAGACGAAGTCGTTTCCGGATCCTGAGCAGGTTTGTGGTTCAACTCAAACTTTGTGTTCAAAAGCACATCTTTAAAAGCTGACCAGAGTCATTTCCCTTTCTTTTTTGTTTTTGTTTTGTTTGTTTTGTTTTGGATGTTTGAAAAAGCTGAGAGTCACGTTTGCTTGCATGCCTCTGCGTCTCACGTTTAGATGGCGGACAAGGTGAAGGAGAGGCTTCCTGAAGAAAACATCAAGAAGAAATCCAAGAGACGGATCTGCTCTGCCCAGTAAAAGGTGGAGAAACAAACAAATGGAACAACAACAAAAGCAACTACAAACCTGTTTCACGCGTCCGGAGTACAAAAATTAGAGTAAGGATTTGAATAAAGCGGATGCAAAATCTGATCTGGGAACGGCTCTGCCACGGCTGTGAACACAAACGAGGCGTTCGTGAGAGCGGCTCTCTGGATCCAGGCGGCGATCGACGCCTCTTTTTTATGAATGCACACGCCTAAAACTCCAGTGGTGTGCGCACGATGCAAGCCGAGAAGCTCCTCGGCCGCCTGGAGCCCGACGGTCTGCTCCGGTCCCGTCGAAGTCACGAGAGACGGAGAAGAGATGCTCCCAAAGAAGATGCGCGTATCATCTGGGGATTTCTTTTGTTCCCAATACTGACCAGAGTCTAAGAGTCTTTGTGGGAATCTTTAATCGCTCCTGGGCCCACGACCCTCGGGTCGCTTCATTCTTGATGTTTTTACAATCTAAAGTATCTCATTAATATCCGCTTCCCTCTGTCAAAAAGTAATTACAGAGGAGCAATAAAACCATAAGACCATTATTCTGTTTTGATGTTTGACCTGATCTCTGACCCACTTCTCTCCCCACAATATCCTGCTGACCAAAAATAACCTGCAGAGCTGAGAAACATGTTTTTCACATTGTGTGATTTTCCCCCACTGGGAACATAAGACCAAAAGCGCCTGTACTTAATAAACATCTTAATAGAACATAATATTCAACACGTGTGTTTATATATACATATATATATATATGTTGCCTTATGTTAGCTTAGTTTCGTTATTATATTAAATATTTCTTCATCAAACCTACTGCATAACATTAAAAAAAGTCATTCTTGTCAGATGTAAAAGTTGTTTGTTTCTTTAGACAAAGCCAAAATTTCCCCATAACCATTATTTTATGTTATTTCATGCTGTTAATGTCTTGCTCCTAGTTTTTTTTAAACCTTCAGTTGTTGTAAAAAAATAAATAAAAACAATATAACAATATTATTATTGAATATGTTGAACTCTTCTTTGGGTTATTGTTGTTTTTTTGTTGTTGTTGTTTATTTATTTTTTTGGGACATGAAGTAAGACACACAGTGTTTTTTTTCCCACCTTGAATCTGGACATAAATGCCTTGATTTCCGCCATTTGCAGGACTTGATGCTAAGCTGCGTGGGAGGTTTTCTTCTGGGTTGTGTTTGAGCATTCGGGCCAGAAATGTTTACACCGGATATTTATGACAAACCCTCACAACGTGACGATATTGTGAAGCAAAGTACCACGTTGCCCGCGTTTGGACGCCCAAAACACTGATCCTGTAACGTTTTCTGTGCCCGTTCTATTCTGCACATCGTGTTGACATGTGCAGAATAAGACCAGCCATCTGAACCGACAACCGAAAACAGAACCTCCCAGGTCTTTAGTTCCCCTTTTTGCATCAGATAACATGTGAAAAGCAATGCTTAGAGTGGAAACTCCGAGCTGCAACCTTTGTACATTCACTGGGTACTTCAGTAGGCACCAGCCCTGTTGCCTGGAAAACCGCTCTTTGTCTTTTTCACTGAATGAGTCAAACGCTTCATTGAATCAAGACCACAGAGATTTAGCTCCAAATAGCTTGCAGAAAGTCAACTAAACCCCCTTTAATTCTCCTTTCTGCAGCTCCGTCAGAACTTAATTGAGTCGTGCTAATCAGGTCTAGACAGCTAGACGCATCGAGAAAATACGCCCTCGAAAAGGTCAAAAAGTGTCTGAACCACAATCTCAAACTCCAGAGCAGCTGAAAGAGAAGCAAAGCAGAACCAAAAAAGTCCCTCGCCTCCCTCTTTGCTTCTCTTTCTAACCAGACTCAGATTTAAAGATGAGCGGCAAAAACAAGCGAGGTGGATTAGCAGTTCTTGCCAACTGCTGTTGGTGTCGTCTAGAACATCTTGTGTGAAATATAATGTCTTCTGCTGATATCAAATTTTCAGCACGTCATGGCAATCATGAGACGGTCACACAGCGACGGTCTTCAGTCAGAGGCTTCTTCAGACTCATTGCAAGACTGACTGCTACCACAGTGTCACCATCTGTGACAGCATCTTGTTTTCCATTTGGGTTAATTACGATATTTTTGAATTGAATTGAGGTGATTGGGTTGACTTCGGCTTTATGTTAGCAATCGATTGAGCAGGTCATAAAAATAGGACTTTTCTCCATGAAGAAAATTGAAAATGAACAAAAGTTCATCAGTTTAAACGTCAGGAGGCGTCCGTCGTTCTTCATGATCTCGGCATCATTTACACCAGTGCAGTCCGCCATACGCTGCTACAGGTTCACTTGCTTACCGAAACACAACAAACAGGAAACAGGAAGCCACATCACAGCCAGCTTCAGCTGAGGTTTGGCAGAACTGAGAAACGCTTCAGAGAGAGCAAGAACTGAAACTGAATTGTGTGTTAAAGGAAATGATCTGTTTCGGGGCTGCAGGCCCCGGCAATGGTTTCACCTCAGGTTGCCCTCATTCTGAGCTCCATACACGCATGAAACCTGCCATGTGTCACACACACACACACACACACACGCACACACACGCACACACACACGCGCACGCACGCAGACACACACACACACACACACACGTAACACACAGCTCTGGAAAAAAAACAAAAAAAAGAGAGCCCACAGCACTGAGGCCCATCATCATCATCATCGTCATCATCGTCGTCATCATTATCGTCATCATCATCATCGTCATCATCGTCATCATCGTCATCATCATATTATTCCATTAAACTTTAATGAAACAGTGTGATGTTTCTTCTGGTTAGAGGTTGATTCATCCATTCGCGTTGGGATGTTTTATGACTTTGCTTTTACTTCTGCAGTAAAAAAATAAAGAAAAATATGTAATTAAAGAATCAGGGTTAGCACACAGTTAATGTTTGAACACTGTCCATGTGTAATAACAGTATGTGGTGAAGTGGTGGGCCTCATAAAGTTCTTGATTATTAACTGTAGCATTGATCAGCCACTTAATGACCTTGTTAATGGTCCTTGCTATCTGTCTAATTAAATATGCTTGTTCGCTTTTATTAGTCTCAAATTTTTTACAACGGGAGAGTTATTGATTATAAAAACGCATATATTTTTATATCATTTTATTTTCTTTCTTTTTGATGAATGCACTTAAAACACTGTTTTAAACTGTGCAAGAATGAATAACCTTGATGATCACACTGTGAAATCAATTAAAAAGGAATTGAGAATGAATGAGTTTTAGCTGGTTAAATATTTTTATTTGATCAAATTAGCAGCATGATTAGTTTTTTTTTTTTTTTGAAAATTTCCAAAAACAGCCTCATTGTCGCTGTTGCCTGTCTCTACAGATTAAAGAACCCACCTATTTCATATAAATAATAATAATAAAAACAACGATCCTGACGGAAGTTAAATAATGTGGTGGGGAAAAAAAAAGTGGTTCTGACTTATTGAGTTGATCTGGTACCGTTTCCTGGTTTCTTTTTTGTTGTTTTACTTTTACTATGTTTGTGCTTCTTTTTTCTTCTTTTTACGCTGCAGCTGTTTGTTTTTTTTCTGAGACGTAGGCAGAGGATTGGAGTTAAAAGTCTTAGATGGTTCAGTTACAACTTCGATATCTTGGAAGTTTTTCTTGCACTTTTGGACTGTTATATATAAAAAGAAAACTTTATTCGATAGAGTACAAAAAAAACACACCACACTTTTCAGATGGTTATTTCGACTACAAAGTTGAACGGTGTTGCCACCTTTTGTTTGACCGGGTTTAATTTGATTTTTTTTAGCTTTAACCAGCAGGAAGTTTACACAGGAGGAAGTATGAGAGGCCAGCGCTTCAACACTGGGTGTGATGATAACAGCGCTGCACATTTGAAAGCTGATAAAAATATAACCTGGTATATTGCCTTTCTCCTTCATTGGAAGCTGCTTTGTATTTTTCAGCTCTATTTTCTCAAAACAGATGACTCATCTTAAGGTAAGCTGGTTTGTGTGCTAAGTTACTTCCAATATTTCTTTTTCTTTGTTCAGTTGTCTTTGCATTTGAATATTCGTTTAAACAGGGAAGGAGGAACAAATTAACCTTTGCTTTATGGCCCCCCAGTGGCAAAGACTGGCCACAGTCAGATAAATGAAGCTTTTTTCCAATCACATCAGTGGAGAGGCACTAGTTTCCTGCAGGAGACAGCCATCGATCCACAGGGGATTTTTTAAAAAAGTTTCACTCTTAATTTTGTTTTAATTGGTAAGGACTGTTTGTACTGTCATTATTTGCAGTTGAACGGATCGTGGTGCCCAGCAGTGACAGAGTTTCTGTAGGTTTCACCAACTCAGATTTGACATTTTTAAGACCATTATGAATAAAGTTCCAGCCATTTTTTCCCTCAGGAGACAACTTGGACATTTTTGGGGGGTCTTTTGCAGGATCTGTACTTCTCACATGGCACATGGCTCTCAACAAGTCAACTGCTGATAAATTGACACTTAGAAAAAAATAGAGAACTGGCTGAAGTATCAGCAGCTCGTTACGGCTGGTCATGAGCCCTCGATTCAAGACGCAGTGAGCATCCCTGATGGAAAAGTCCCATAGGAACATCAATACTCACCATTAGATGCTTTAAAGCCTTAATTTTAAATGCATAGATGTAAGACTTTTTAATGAGGATTTCATTTTTTTGCTCTGAAGATAAATCCACAAGCCAAGGCTTTGTACCAATAAGCAGAGGTGAGTGGAGCAGCACTACTTCAACTCATTTTTGAATGAGAAAATGTCATGCAAAACAAAGAAAAAAAAAAGTCCAAATCAATATCTAACTTAAGGAACTAACAAAAACTACAGGTGTTTTTTTTTTCTCCCTTTCAGTTCAGTTGTGCATCCAGAAATTTTACATGAGCTTAAATGCAACTTTCAAAGCTGATTCGGTCATTAGTGGTTTCATGTAGATATCACCAGGACCTTATTATTGATTCAATTAGCCTCAGATGGTCGGATCCGTTTAATGATCACATCTCTTCACTGTAAGCGGAGCCCTGCGCTGCCGGGATGAGACCACAGAACAACATGTCTTATTAAAGCTGAAGCGTCTGCACCAAATCATAAAAACAAGATGGCAGCTGTTAGAAGAAATCAATCACACACCAGCCAGAGAATCAAATTTCACAATTCATTTTATTAAAAAAAAAAAAAAAAGTCAAATAAATATTAGAAAATATGTTTACGTATTTGTTTTAGTTTTTTTGGCGGGGGAATGTAAGACGTGATTAATAAAAATGTGCCCGATTGGTCGCTGGTTTGGTAGATGAATATGAAATGTTTCACGAAGTCATAGCACCACTGTGAGGTCGTTCTCATTTTGCAGCTCTGCTGACCTTGTGAGATCAGCTCACAGAAACAAAAGGAAAAGTTTCAATGAAAAGCAAAGTCAGAATCAGGTATGGGTCAATCTGCAGAGGGCCACTGCTTTAGGTTTCATTTTTTTATATAAATATATTAATTTACACATTATAAACTATAATGCATTTATCACAAACA